CCCCGCCTCTAGCACTAGCAGTTAATGGAAGGCCCAAAATTCGGAAATATTCGCGGCATCACTAGAAGCAATGTTGTCGAACAAATTGCGAACAAACTACGCAGGCTCATAATACAAACATAAAAAAAAAAAAAAAGACCAAAAAAAAAAAAAAAAAAAAAAGCGCTATAAAACCCTGTTCGGAGTAACTTTCGGAGTTTGCGGAATCTTTCTCCGAACGAGGTGTTTTTGCCAACTTTTTCGTTACTGGTCCAAATACGTCAAAACTGAATACAGATATACCCTAAAGCACAAACATATCAGACAAAAAAAGAAAACAAGAAAACAGTACAAATTCAGGGAAATATGGCAGTTTCTGTGAAAAATTCGCCAAAATTCGCCGAATTTCAGGCCTTCCATTAACGACTTCTCGCCGCTGGCTTTGAAGGGAGCATTTTGGCCAAGTTTTGCACATCTTTTTGGCCCGACTTCGAGACCCCGAGAATTCAATGTGGTGCAATCAGGTGGGCTGTGGGCATGCGTTAATCAGAAGCTCCTGGAGACAGAAGTGATTGGAAGTGTTAACTTTTACCAAGGGCACAGGTGGTGGAAGGTATAGTAGTCAACATAGGGACTGACTTATGGGGCGCCCCGCCAGGAGTGCGCCCCCTCCCAACGGAAACTAGAGGGTAAGTTTCATCCTCTCTTTTTCTTTCAGGGAAGGGAAGAGAGCATGCAATCGACGAGGTAGAGAGAGTGGCCAGTGTCCCATGCGGATCCTGGCCGGTTTGAACAAACTAAAGGTCCTCTCTTGGAATGCTAGGGGTCTCTCTACAAGATCCCTGAACCCGAAGAGATGGGAACTGAAGCAAGTGGTAAGAAGGAATCGAGTGGATGTGGGATCTGGCCGCAACTCAATGAAGAAGACCCAGTCTCATCTTCCCCCAAGGAGCAAAAAATTGAATGAAAAGGAGTTGCTTGAAAGAGAGTTTTGAAGTTTTCCCATATTAAGAGAAACCTGAATCGGGCATCAAGAGTAAGAAAATCCCTCTGTATATGGATTTTCCCCTTGTTATTTTGATCAAATTTGCTATCTTGATTAGACTGGGAATCTCTTCCCTTGCTGAAAACGACCTTCTGCTATTGCGTGTAAATAGTTTGAAGGAGCCTTGTAGTTCAGCATGTGGGATGCGTCTTGCCTGTTTCGTGTGAACATACATGCACGTTAATGGATGTAGTGTGAACGAGGCTCATCGCATTTCGGTCTTATTAAGTAATTGATACAAGACTAGGATATGGAAGAAAAAAAGAAGAGCATATATATCCCATGAACAGAGTCATAGCTTCGTCCTCAGATTAAAAAAGAATCAAAATTATCTGAGGTAATAAAGTAGGCAATGTGGGGGGGGGGAGGGAGGCTGGCTTCTGGAGGACATGGGAATGGTACCCCCTGCTGGTTCATAAGAACACCGTCAAGGGACACATGGAATTCGGGTCTTTGCTTCAGCCGTATGCAGAGCCTGAGACTACCGACTGAGATTAGAATGCAGGTAGTATTGGAGATAACTATCGGGGGAGAGGGGTGGGGTTCCAGGTTCCCTTTTTAGAGAATAAAAGGATAGCCCAAGAGTAGGATAAGAGGAAATGGATACTTGTAGGATGTGATAGGGGTGGGGAACGGATAGGGCGTAGGGGGTTAAAAAAAAAAAAAAAAAAGGAAGAAGAACAATGCGAGGGTGAAATATTAGGACACGAGGAGCTGATAGATGTAATAGGGGAAAGGATAGGAGACAAAGGTAGAAACTGAATGGGAGCAAGAGATGAGTCAAGCATGATGCATACTCGGATGAGAGGAGTAGAAGCAAAGGGGCGCCCATTATGCATATAAAGCAGAGGTGCTTGGGGTGGAGTGCGAAGTTGAGAGCAGTCGAGAGACTGCAGGTGCAGGATGTGCTCTACCCCCCCCCCCCCCGGCCTCCACGCAGGTCTGGGAACTTTAAGGAAGTTTATGGACCCGGAGCTCGGGCCTGGGGAGTGGAGCCACCCAGCCTGCCCCTGCAGTCCCCCCCCCCCGATAGGTGTCTCAGGCTGCGGGGGAAACACTCACCTTTCAATTCTCTCTCTTTCTCTCGCCTGTACTCATGCTTGCCGGTAATAAATAACCCGACAGTTGCCCCCAAGAATAGAAGGGGCATCCTTTGAAAAAGAAAAAAAGAAAAAAAGTAGGCAATGTGTAAAATAGCAAGAAACTAGTTTTTTCAGAGTACCTAGATATCAATCCAAGAGTATAATAACGAGTACCACATGTAGGAGTAAAACCTAGCCTTTTATAATAATGAGTACCACATATAAGAGTAAAACCTACCCTTCCTACTACTATAGTCAAGCAATTTAGGGTTGAATATTGACAATAACATAGCAACTATAAAACAGGAAAAATCCACAGAATAGTCATCATTTTGAGTGTGTGTGTCTGTCGACCCCTCCGCCTTGCCCTAGGCCAACAGATGGCCGACCAGTGGTGCTGACGAGTTGAACGGCCGGCACATCCGCAGCCGACCAGAAAGGGGCCGCGGACAATCAGCTGAGCGACTCTGCTTATACTATCAAAGACCCATACAATCATGCAAGAGGAAGGCAAAGCACATGGACAGAGAAGCCTCGGCGAAACAGACCAGCAGACAATGATCTCTCAGAAAAACTTCACAGGCTGCAAGCGTGCAGGTTATTGCACAGTCCTGGGGCATGCAGATCTTCTAGAACCAGGTCAGCATTGCCGGTTTGAGGCCACCTCTTGGTCCCCTCGTTGTTCATGCATTGTTTTGTTGTAGTGAGGCTGACTGTGTTGATGGCGTGATCATTTGAATTGCAGTAAGCTTGGGTTGTGAAAGTGTCTACTCAGGCTATGTGAAAGACGCGAGAAACATAGCCATTCAAAGTGCCACTATGGCACGCCATATCTTGTTGCCACTATGCCACAACATATGTTGCTGGACTGAATGACGACTGAGCGGGAGCAAGGCCTGATTGAAATTAGTGCACTTACCATAAAAAACTCTGATCACAGGATCTGCAGTAATTGTGGATCCATTTCCGGAGAGGGAAACAGTGACACGGTGATCCCCCGTCGTCAATGTGAAGTACTGACAAACTATTTCCTCCACTGTCATTGAGATCACGACACAAGCAGTAGAATCATCCCCAATATGCACAATGACATCATCATACTTCTTTTCAACAACATAGTAGCCTGGAAACCATCCTTCAATCAGCAGCTCTCCTGTTCTTGCGGCTTGTGCTTCACTGGGACTCACGCTGGTGATCAAAGGAACTACATAATCCAGCTCACTTGTCATTGGATCTATGTATGTTGCGGCTGCTGAAAGAGTTACAGACTCCGTGCTGTTTCCAAAGTCAAGGTAAACATGAATGTCAACTGGTGCACTATCCAGATATGACTCAATGCCAGGAGGAGAGACACAGATGAATGAAGTATCGGTGATGCTGGACTGGAGAACTTCAGCACGATCAAGCGATGTACCTGTGCCAAACCGCACACTGAGTTTAGCTGACTCGGTCCTGAAACCACTCCCTAATACAGTGACCAGTGTACGTCCTTGCAGAACAACAAATGCCGGACTTGCTGACGTCACCTTGAGTGTCTTGATCAGAACCCTCGCAGCTGTGGCGTTTGCAATGGCCTTCCCAGCACCCAGAATGAAGACTTCCACATCAGAGGGTCCTGATTTCATACCGGGTCTTGCAACTGCAGAAATGGTGGTAACATTCGTGCTAATCACCTCTGCAAGAACACCACCAATGAGAACCTCGACCATTGTGACATTATCTGTAAATCTCTTTCCAGTTATTTTGAATGCTGTGCCATCTGTCCCTTCTGTTGGATACACAGAAATGAGTGATGGCGTGAGAGATGAGTTGTATGTCAACTCACATTGCCGTGGATCCCTGCACATTGTCAATGTCACAGAATGAAATTGGATGAAGGATAGTTTCATGCTCTATTGCAAGTGGTAGTGCAATGACATGGGTAATTATTCTGCAACGCTCTGAAACCAGACAGTAACTTCTTTTGTTTTCATTTTAGGCCCTTCAGGGGCAAAAGAAGGATATAGAGAAGACATGCATCTGTACTTTGGGCCCTTCTGGTTTTCCGGAACTTTTGGGTGGGCATCAATGGGGGAAAGGAAGCTAGGATGGGGAGGGAAGTCGCCGGACGGAGGTCGGGGGAGGGAGGTCGGAGGAGGGAGTCGGGATCGGGGGAGAGAGGTGGGGATCGGTGGAGGGAAGCCGGGATCGGGGGAGAGGTGGGGACTGATGGAGGAAAGTCAGGATTGGGGACAGAGGTGGATATCGATGGAGGGAAGTAGGGGGAGGGATGCTGGCATGCGGAAGGAAGTCGACGAAGGGAAGTCGGGGGAGGGAGGTCGGCGGAGGAAGATCGGAGTAGGGACGTTGGATTAGGGGCGTCGGAGTAGGGACGTCGGCGGGGCAGGGGAGTCGGGATGGGAAGGGAAGTCGTGGGAGGGAGGTCAGTGCAGGGTGGGAAATCGGGATGGGAAGGGGGGTCAGTCCACGGAGGGAAGTCGGGATGGGAAGGGGGGTGGGGGGAGGGGAGTCGGCCACTCGGTGGAGGGAAGTCGGGGCAGGGAAGTCGGGGGAGGCAGGGGAGTCGGGATGGGAAAGGAAGTCGTGGGAGGGACCCCAGTGCAAAGGGGGGTCAGTCGACGGAGGGAGTCGGGATGGGAAGGGGGGTCGGGGGAGGGGAGTCGGGGAATGGAGGTCGGCCACTCGGCGGAGGGAAGTCGGGCCATGGAAGTTGGTGCAGGGAAGTCGGGCAGGGAAGTTGAGATGGGGAGGGAAGTTGGGGGAGGGAGGTCGGTGGACCGAAGTCTGTGGAAAGAAGTCGGGGGAGGGAGGGGGACTGGGGACATGGGGGGTTGAATTGCGGGGAGGGAGGGGGAATAGGAGGTGGCGTGGCGGAGTATATTTCCATCACAAAAAAAGAAGAAGAAAATAAAAAAAGTGCGGCGGTGTAAAGAGAGAGGTCGGCCACTCGGCAAAGGGAAGTCAGGGCATGGAAGTTGGGGCAGGGAAGTCAAGATGGGGAGGGAAGTCGGCGGAGGGAAGTCGGGGGAGCGAAGCCTGTGGAGCGAAGTCGGGGGAGGGAAGGGGACTGGGAACATGGGGGGTTTGAATCGCGGGGAGAGAGGGGGGAATAGGAGGTGGCGTGGCGGAGTATATTTCCATCACAAAAAAAGAAGAAAACAAAAAAGTGTGGCGAGAGAGAGAGAGAGAAAGAGAGAGAGAGAGAGAGAGAGAGAGAGAGAGAGAGAGAGAGAGAGAGAGAGAGAGAGAGAGAGAGAGAGAGA